TCATCTTTTCTCCTTAGTCTCTCAGGGATGCTAAAGTTGAAATGGAAAAGACTAGTTTGTGGAGTTGGAAAGCAGTGAATTCAAATCTTGGCTAGTTATAGTAGCTGAATGAATTTCTGATGCCTTATCTATAGACTTGTGATAAGCTTACCTACCTTTTAAGGTTATCAGGAACAGTAAGTAAGTTAATGCCTGTAAAGTGTCAGGCATATGATAAGTAATAAATGCTGGTTCTTTCCTCACCTCACCTCTTGCTAGATTTTCACAACAGCCTTCGGTTTCTTTTCTCACTGTAATCTTTATAGCCTTTAATCCATACTGTGTACCCCTATGGGTTCCTCTAGAACATTACCAAATTTTACTGCCTTTGACAATCTAGTCCCAACATATGTATGCAATCGTATTTTTCATTACTTCAACTTGTATTTAAATTTTTTTAAAATATATTTTATTGATTTTTTTTACAGAGAGGAAGGGAGAGGGACAGACAGTCAGAAACATCGATGAGAGAGAAACACCGATCGGTCAACTCTTGCACACTCCCTACTGGGGATGTGCCAGCAACCAAGGTACATGCCCTTGACCGGAATCGAACCCGGGACCCTTCAGTCCACAGGCTGACGCTCTATCCACTGAGCCAAACAGGTTAGGGCAAATTTTTTTAAATTTATATTTATTGTTGAAAGTATTATAGATACCCCTTTGTATGGCTTCTCATATTGTATTTTTCATACATTCATTTCCTGTCCGATACCCAAACTGTGTATGCCTCAGTCCCCCCACCCATCCTCACACTCCTCCCAGACACTTGCAGTGGTTCTCAACCTTCCTAATGCCGTGACCCTTTAATACAGTTCCTCATGTTGTGGTGACCCCCAACCATAAAATTATTTTCGTTGCTACTTCATAACTGTAATTTTGCTACTGTTATGAATCGTAATGTAAATATCTGATATGCAGGATGTATTTTCATTGATCGGGACCCACAGGTTGAGAGAACTACTGGAGAGAGAGCGAGAGAGAAAGAGAGAGGAAGAGAGAGAGAGTACATTGATGTGAGAAACATCGATCAGTTGCCTCCTGTACGCACCCCAACCAGAGGGAGACTGAACACTGAACCTGCAATTTGGGCATGTGCCCTGACCAGGAATCAAACTGGTGAGCCACACTGGCCAGGGCCTCTCAGACACTTTATTTCTGATCATTCTTTCCTTCAAACTCCCTCATCAGGAATGTTCTTCCCTTTCTCTCTCAAACTGTATCATCCTCATTTCCCAACTGCCAGCATCTCCAACTGCTTTTGTGTCTTCCTCCTCTGACTCCTCCTGCATTTGTGTGCAGTGACACACAATTGGGTGCCTAAGAGTCCCCACTTCAGGCCCCAGGGTTCAGTGACAGGGCACAGGAACAGTACCAGGAACAACGATAAGAGGTCACCTAAATGTGGGGAAGTTAGAGTAATTTATCTTCACTGTCATTTTGATTTCACACAGCCATTCAGTCTAAAAGCAGGATTTGAAATAAGAAATTATTACTTATCAAGCAGAAACATACAAAGGTAAACTTTCTGGGCTGAAGAACATTCTAACTATTGCTCTCACTTCACTCCTGCTCATCTCAGAAACTGTTTTAAAAACTGTGCAACCGTCTGTATTCATTTAATTTAAGGCAAAGCAAAAGCCACAGTTTTTGGCTTCCCTTGCAGTTAAGATGCACACATTCATGGCTCTCTCTCCCCGGTCACTCTGGGTTATTATATTTAAGCACCACCCAAGGTACAAGTGATTTGTTCACAGGGTAAGAGCTATAGCAGCTTAGTGTTTCCTGGTGCTTTTTCATGGCCACTTTGTTTTGATGGTAGGTAGAATATATGTCCTAGGTATGATTACTGAAATCTTAATGTCAAATATTTATAATTCATGACTATTTTATTTATCATTTATGAACTCCCTTCTTCCAAAAGTAATTTTAAGTATCTTACAATAAAAAATAAATACTCCTACATAGAGTTTAAAATAAATAAGAAAAGGGCATCAAATATCACATAGAGAAAGGCTCCAAGTCTCCACAGACATTACTAAGAGAAGCAAAGCTTCCTAAAAAGATTGCTGCTTTTGGGATCTTGGCTGACTCCCTGCCTCAACCAGATGATCTCTCCATAGATGGCCACTTCCTCCCCAAGAATCATATGGGAAGTTTGGGGGAACAAGATAAAAATTAAAGAATTAAACCAAGGGTGAGCCATTGACAGCAATTAAGTAGTGAGTTAATGCCAAGCTCCTGGAAGGGGGGGGGGGGGGAGAGAGAGAGAGAGAGAGAGAGAGAGAGAGAGAGAGAGAGAGAGAGAGAGAGAGATAGAGATACCTCTCATTCTAATAAAAGGAAAAAATACCTGATTTTCAGAAGAGATGAAGTTTCTTTTTTGACATCAATTTTTGGAGAATTTAGTCATAAGAATAAATATCATAAAAACAAATCATGGGAAATATCTTCAATAGCAATTCTCCAGAGGGTGCATTTTCATGGCCATTTTTCATATAAATTCACTATTTTTTAAAAATACGATATTATAAATGGAAAAGTCCAGAAATAAAAACATATATTAAATTGGACTTCTATAAAAATATTTCTAGTACAGATATGTTTCAATGCCACAGACAGACACTGATTTACAATGACTTGATTTAACGATTTTTCAATTTTATGATAGTGCAAAAGCAATATACATTCAGTAGAAAACATACTTCAAATTTTTAATTTTTATCTAGAATTGTACGTTAAGATACCATATCATGATGCTGGGCAGCTGCAGTGACCTCAGCTCCTAGTCAGCCATGAGATTATGAGAATAAACAGCTGATAGTGTTAGGTGATTTTGCTCAACTATGGGCTAATGTAAGTGTTCTTAGCAGGTTAAGGTAGGCTATGCTATACTATGATGTTCCATTGGTGTATTAAATGCACTTTCAACTTATGATATTTCCAACCTATGATTGGTTTATAAGGCTCGAACCCCATTTAAGTCGAGGAGTATCTATACAATGTTGTGCTTAGCGTATGGGAAATCAAGATGACAGCCCTCAGACAGTCTTTGTGAGAGAACAGGATGCATCAAATTTACAGTCTGATAGTGACTGAGGAAGGCATCGAAGAGTAGCAAGGCATATTTGTCTTCAGAAGCCAGCAAAAACACACAATGAAGCCCTAAAACCATCAGGATCAACACTAAGGCAAACCCATACCCCAATAGGACTTTTCTCCTGAAATCTGCAGGGCACTCCTTTTGGACATTTCCCTCCTCCCCCGCCCCCCCCCCCTTAAATTTATTTTGTACTTAATTTTATCTACATAAGAATGTTGGTGGGGGTTGGAGGGTGGTCATGCAGTGAAATTCTGCCCCAGAGCCACACCCTTATGGAGATGATGCTGAGCCCTTTAAAGCTTAAACCAGTGGATTCCCCAGGATTCACTGTAATACACTTTGTGAAATTTCACTCTGGCTTTTAGAGGCGATTTATCAATACCAGAATATTCTATAGGTTCCTACAGACTTATAGAGGGGAAACAGCTCAGTTGGGGGTACTCTCAACCTGAGAGTGTTCTGGCACAGCTGATTACAAAGTACTTAAGTGGAAATAGTGTTAAGGAAAGCAGTATTTAGTTGGTCAAAAGATATAGTAACTACTTTTATTATCCTGGTTAAGTCCTATTACCCCTTTGGACTCAATCTCCTCAACATTAAAATAAAAGGCTTGAATTATATCATCTGTAAACCCTAGCTGTATTATGACATGATTATTTATAAATTACAGATATGAGCATGGTGTGTGTGTCAGTGGTGGTGGATGGGGGTATGTTGTATGTGATCATGTTACTCCACTATTTAATATCCTTCAGTGTCTCTTGGGATAAAAATCCAAACTCTTTACACTTGGCCTATAAAACTCTTCATGATCAGAATGTGGTTTATGTCTCCATCGCATCTCCTGCCATTTATCTTTTATATACATACTATATGTATACCACATATGCATTCTATATATACCATATATATACATACATATGCAATATATGCACATTATATATGTATATGTATACTATGTATATAGCATATACTATGTACATTTTATGTATATAATAAATGTCCAGTAAGCCCCAACAATGATGTCTCTTGCCTGCAGCCTCTCACACATGCTATTTCATTGTCTAACATGATCTCCATCCTCACCTACACATCCTTTAAGTCCCAAATAATTACAAAAACAATCAGAGTGGTAATATTATACTAGTAATAATAGTTAAGAGTAATAATAATAGAAACAATAGTATCAATTATATCTTTGCAGAGTTTACTATGTCCAGTAACTATACCAAGAACCATATATATATAGTAAGATGATATATATATATAGTAAGATGATATATATATAGTAAGATGATATATATATATATATAGATGATATATATATATCATCATGGAGTAACATGATCACATACATCTTACTTAATCTTCACTTCAAATTTATGAAACAGTAAAAAAAAATTATGAGACAGTAAACGTACTTTATGATACAGTATTATTGCTCCCATTTTAAAGATGAACAGAGGTCCCAAAAAGTGATTTACCTAAAATTATTTCCTCCTGAAAGGCCCTCCTGATCTGATCTCTCAAATCTCCATTAGCTGCCCATCGTATAGACTCCCTTAGCATTAATAATAGCAATTAGCACACTAGATTATGACACTCACAATGTTCCATCAAGGAGTCTTGCTTACTATTACATTTTCAATGTCTGGCATAGTACTTAACAAATACCTATTGAATGAATGAATGAACTAATAAATTCAGAGTGAATTAGGCCTAATGAGGCATTAATGTGTCTCATTCTCTACTCTTTTGCCTATCTTCCCTTTGCTCTGCTGTTCCTAGTTACTTGGTGGATACAGCCATACTTCAGAGGTATTGCAGGTTGGGTTACAGACCAATAATACAGCGAGTCTTAATATTTTTGCTGGTGGAATATCTTGCCTTCGATTTGTAAAATACACAGTATCTGTGAAATGCAATAAAGCAAGGCACAATAAATTGAGGTATGCCTATACTATTCATCAGTTTTTGCTACTCAGCTGTTCAATGGAAGGTAGGGCACTATCTCTAATTATGGATGCCAAAACGCTTGTAAAAATGTTATTTCAACCATGGCTGAACACTGGTTGCCATTGTAGATATAGGATATGGAGCTGTTCCTGGTTATGTTGCTTTGTGAATAATAATTATCTATGTAACATTACTTCCTGAGATATGGAATGGCAGCCGGAGAGAGTCATGTATAGCAGCCTCCCACATGTTCCACTTTGTCCCCTTGTCTACCCCCCAATGAACAGGACAATGTGAAAACTTGAAGACTCTGCTTGCCTTGCCTCTGGAGTGGTCCTCGGTGTGGGCAGAAATGAATATTCCACTTGGCAGAAATACCTCATAAATCAATGTGAGCTGGATACAATGAGTTTCTCTGTAAAGGAATAAAATAACATGCAAGGTTTGTCCTCATTTGAGGTAGTATATCTAACTAATTTCCTTTTTTTTTTTTTTGCAATTGGACTGCAACCAGACCTTTTTTTCCAAAACCCAGAGATCCCACAACTTGATGGGATAATCGATCCCACTGGTCATCAGAAGCCTCAATTAACTGTGCAGTCTGCCACATTCAAAAGGAAAGTTGGCAACCTCTTTAAGCTGAAACTTTAAACATTTTCTTTTTCGGAGATACAGGTGCAACAAAAAAGGGTATTCCAGTTATATTTTCAGAATCTACAGTTTATAAGCATCATTTCACTGGGCATGTAGAATAATTCACTAAGGATTCTACCATAGCAGCTGGTTCATATTATGAAATTGAAGTAAAAAAGAATATCAGAAATAAGAAGGTGCAGTGTAATAGGAACTGGTGGGTGGGATCTGAGATCCTAAATGTTGTTCTTGAGTATGTCGTGGATCTGATGGTTCCTTAGGCCGCCCCCCCCCCCGCCCCACCATTAGCATCTGTTTCCAGATGAAATTGGGCAACGATAAGGGTCCAAGGCAACCCCTGAAAGGCAAATAATTTCCCCAGTGTCATCTGAGAAGTATGGAAGGAGATAAGGCAGCTGCATACCATGTTCTGGTGGTCACAGGCAGAGAGCATTCTTAGCATTATCTGAAGCTCTAGGCAGCCCAAGTGTGTGGTCTGTGAAATGCACCTACCATTCTATCCCCAGGAGAAGCTCTGAGTACCAGTCAACCTTCCTGGGAAAGTGCTTTGGCAAACTAAAGTGAGAAAAACACTGCCTGTGTGAATCTATACTTTCCAGCTCAAAGAGGTAAGTGAAGAGTCCTAAACCCAGATATGTTGTCCCCAGTGTTAAACAGTGAAATATTGGGAAACAGCTGTCTCTTGGATTGATTTGTCTTCCCTAATTTTTAATCCAGATGTGTGCCAACACTAAGATCCAGCTGGGAAATCTGATTGCAGTCTCTCTTCTTCTCATAACTACTCTGCAAATACTGGCAGCGAAGTAAAGCTATGGGAATGGCAAGCCACAGCACTAAGGTGCTTTGAAAAATTGAAACAGGGCACGATCACCTCTGGTCTGCCACGTGACACCTTAAGGAGAGAAAAAGCCTGGGATGCCTGACTCCACTGAGCTTTCTTACTAGAGTCAGTAGCTGTTTGGAACATTTAATCTCAACCACAACATTTGTGAGACACAGTAACCTAGAAGCTCTTGATAAAAACACATATTCCTGGTTCCTGCCCTTAATATATGGAATCAGAAATTCTGTGTAGGGAATCTGCATTTTAAACAACTTCCTGATATGATTCTTACATATGCCAAAGTTGAGGACTTCTGACGCTCACAAGTTTAGGTACTATGTTCCAAACACTGTTCTACTCAACTGCTTGACCATCATAATATTTTTTAAGTCAGAAAATAGTTCCCAAGTCACTCAGTGGGCTCTCCATTCTGCCAGCTCTTGCCCCTAAATTCCAATCTGCTATTGCTGATTCTCATTCACATGTTATTCCTTGGGTCTTGTCCAGCCTTAACTGGTATCCTGGCTTTGCTTTTCACGAACATAAAATCTTAGAATATTAGAGCCAGAAAGAACTTTAGAGATCACTTCTGACATCCACAATTCATGGAGGTTTGGCTTTGGTGGCATCCCACTGAACCTTCTCTTGAGAGAAAATACTATTTAGGGAAAAATCAGTATGTTCTCAATAAAACGCATATTTCTCTAATTTGACAGATAGGTGCTGAGGATCTGGCCTTGTCTTAAAAGGCATATATTGTCCTCTTTTTCTGCTTTCTGCTTCCATTTGTGAATAGTTCTCCCTGGTGCAGGTTTTATTATCAGCATTATATTCCTGAGTACTCACCATAGGCCAGCATATTGTAGGCTCCTGTCAAATATCTGTTTAATGATGGAAAGGAGAGCGAGAAGGAAAGGAGTAATTCTTCTCTAAAACAGAAATTAGAACTGCTTTTGATCAAGAGCTACCATCAGTAGTCTTCATGTGGTAAAGATTGTTGGTATTAATATTCATGTTTTTAAAAGATATATTTTTATTGATTTCAGAGAAGAAGGGAGAGGAAGAGAGAAAGAGAAACATCAATGATGAGAGAGAATCATTGATCGGCTGCCCCCTGCACAACTCAGTCCGCAGGCCAACACTCTTTCCACAGAGCTAACCTGGCTAGGGCTCATGTTCTTTTCTTCATGGTCGCAGAGCAATGCTTTCTAGTCTCTTCTATGGATAGATGTGTTCATCTAAGTGAGTTACAGACAAAGGAATGTGAGTAAAAGTGTGACCACTTCCAGGCTTGGCCCATGAAGACTTCCTACACAGGATTCTTGCTCTCTTTCTCCATCTACCAACTAAATGGAGTCAACTATAAGGTTCTAAAGCAGTGATTTTCATTGTGCAGCAAGAATTTTTAAAACATGCAATACCTGACTATTTAGTCAGGGGCACTGACCTCTTTTCCCTTAGATTGTCAAAAAATAAAAATAAAAATAAAAACAAATGACAACAGCCAACACAACAATAGCCGTCCAGTATGAATGAATTAAAAGCATACCTATTTTTGTCAGATAGGCAAAATATATATTTTGGTGTGCCACAGAATTTTAGTAATTAGTTTATGTGTACCATGAGATGAAAATCGTTTTTCTAAAGTAAGGATGATCAATAAGACTGAAGGGTCTTTGGTCTCTATGTGGAACCAAAGCTTCACAGGTCTTCACTAGACTATGATATGAGCAAGAAACTTCTGTTGCTTCTGCACCCATTGAAATTTTGCTTGTTTGTTGCATCATTTAGCTCATTCAGCTAATCATGCCTGGAAACAATGATGCTTATTCTCACAGTGTTTGCCACTTGCTATCAAGTTTCATTAGTGAGGTGTCATTGAAATCATGTTTCTCTGAGTCTTAAGTTTCCAGGTTCCAGAGAGTCTGTACTTAACAGGTCTATGGTTATCAGCCAAAAAGCCAATTATTTTCCTATCTTTCAAAGTGTATTTATAGGTGAATAATTCAAGTGAGGATCTGGATGAAATAGAGGAAAGTAATACTTAGGACAAGTTTCACCATTACCAAAGTGACCCAGGATCAGGGCCAACTTCATGAGCACATGCTTAAATGTTTACCTGTTGCCACCTTGAAATTCTTAATACTTTGTGAACAAGGGTCCTTACCATTTAATTTTGCATTAAGCCCCCCAAATCATTTAACCAGTCCTGTTCATCATACTTAAGGGAAACAAGGAGTTGCCCTTTGGCCCATCTTGGACTTCTACCTCCTGGATGAATGGAGACTTTTTGAACTATAGAGTGTGGACTTAAAGACTAGACCTGGCCAGGAGTTGTCTATGTGCACAACCTCATCTATCTGCTCTGTAACTTGGACCACTCTCTAAACTCTGACCTTGCCTTTCTTTCTGGAAGGTGCACAGGTGGTGGAGGTGATGACATAGTTCAGTGCAATTTCCCAGCAAGAAAATGGAAGCCCTCCTTTATAAAAACTGGGCATAAGTTACACCACCATTTTAAGGGCTTCCTGTTTCTTGATTTGCCTTGATATAACTTTGTCATCATCTTTAAAGTTTGAATTATCTCCTGTCCTTGTAATGTTACTGGTTTCTGATTCCTGGCCTAGAGACTAACCTGATTTCTCATTACTGATTAGCAGCCTCAAGTACCTGCTTCTTCAAATATTTCAGATTCTCCTCTCTGTGGCAATGTACTTATCCATCTTTGGCTGGCTCCTTATACACTGAGTGTCCAGATTATTATGACTAGCCAGATTATTAAGACCACCCCATCAGTACTTTGTTGGGCCACCTTTTGCCTTCAATACTTTGGCGATTCTTCTTGGCATTGACTCCACGAGATGTTGAAAGGTGATGCGAGGAATCTGACACCATGCCTGATGAATAGCACTGTCCAGTTCTGTGAGATTTGATGGTTGTGGAACCAGCTGCCTGATGGCTCTTTTAACTTCGTCCCACAAATGCTCAATTGGGTTGAGATCTGGTGATTGTGGGGGCCACCCAAGCAAGGGAAAGTCTCCCTCATGTTCTTGAAACCACTCCTGCACAATACGAGCACCATGGCATGGCGCATTGTCTTGTTGGAAGGAGCCATCTCCATTGGGATACGCCATCAACATGATAGGATGAACTTGATCAGCAACAATACTTAGGTATGTTGTGCTATTCAGACATTTATAATGGTCTGGCCCTCTAGCAACTTCAGCATGAAATTATGGCTAATTTTCCAACAAATGTCAGGTAGTTATAATAATCTGGCCACTCAGTGTAGATGTTCTGCTGAACCTTCTAATCTGTCTTTCATTCAGGTCCTAATATATGCCCTCCAGTTCTGTTTTGACTATCAGTCCTTGATACAGGTTTTTTGACTCAAGTCCCACCTTAGTTCTGCCATTACCATTTAAATGGCCTTAACCAGTGGTGCAGCTGAATGTTTAACAACCAGCTCTTTGGGGAGATGGGTGATAAAAGCCTGATTGGTAGTATTTAATGATTTCTATGGTGTAAATACCTACCCCCCTTGACCAATTTCAAGCTACTAATGTGATGTCATTGAACTCAGAGTTAGAAGAGATGTGTGCATTTGACTGGACTTTTCACAAGCTTTGTGAGGCACCTCCAGCACACCACTGGCTGAACGTTTAATTTGCCTTTTTCTGAAGAGTAATTGTACCGTAAGTCACCCAGATGTCCAAGTCAAAATCATCCTGTCATCCAAAGTTCCCTTGAGGATGAACAAGTCATTTTACATAAGGGAAAATAAGGACTATACAAAGACTAAGGACCCGGTGCACAAAGATTCGTGCACTGGGGAGGAAAGTGGGGGGGGGCGTCCCTCAGCCTGACCTGCACCCTCTCTAATCTGGGAGCCCTCAGGGGAGCCCTCTCCAATCCGGGAGTTTCTGTCTTTGCAATCA